CTGATGGATCTAAACTGCCAGCCTTCTTGTTAGTAGTCAAATGCCTTCAGCACTATGCCACCAGAGCCCCCATCCTAGGTATTCTGATTCAAAATGGCCAAAACCATTCCATTTCAGCTCACTAATGCCTTTGAAAAAAATACTAGGCATTAATGAGCTGAAATGGACTGGTTTTGGCCATTCTTAATCAGACAACTGTAGGACAGACTATGCCAGGAATGACAAATTGAAGAGGAATGGCATGGCATTCATTGTCACAAAGAGTGCTTCAAGATCTGTCTTGAAGTACAATACTGTCAGTAATAGGATAATATCCATATGCCTACAAGGAAGACCAGTTACTACTACTATCATTTAAATTTATGCACTAACCACCAAAGCCAAAGTTGAGGACACTGAAGATTTCTACCAACTTGTGCAGTCTGAAAATGAGCAAACATGCAATCAAGATGTGTTGATTATCCCTGGTGACTGGAATGCAATAACTGGAAACAAAGAAGAGCTACCAGTAGTTGGAAAATATGGCCTTGGTAACAGAAACAACACTGAGATCATATGATAGAATTTTGCAAGACCAATGACTTATTCATTGCAAATACCTTTTTTCAACAACATAAGTGACGGCTATACACATGGACTTTACCAGATGGAATACAAAGGAATCAGATTTACTACATCTGCGGCAAGAAGCAATGGGGAAGTTCAATATCATGGGCCAAAACAAGGCCAGGGGCTGATTGTGGAACACACCATCAACTGCTCATATGCAAGTTCAAGTTCAAGTTGAAGAGAATTAACACAAGTCCACAAGAGCCAAAATGAGACCTTGAATATACCCCTCCTGAATTTAGAGACCATTTATATAATAGATTTGATGCATTGAACCCCAATGACTCAAAACCACAGGAATTGTGGGATGACACCAAGAACATCATTCATGAAGAAAGCAAGAGGCCATTAAAAAGACAAGAAAGGATGAAAAGACCAACATGGATGTCAGAAGAGACTCTGAAACTTGCCCTTGAGCTGAGAGTAGCTAAAGCAAATGGAAGAAATGACAAGATGAAAGAGCTGAACAGAAGATTTCAAAGAGCAGCTCAAGCAGACAAAGTCAATTACTATAATGAAATGCGCAAAGACTTGGAGCTAGAAAACCAACAGGGAAGAACACGCTCACCATTTCTCAAGCTGAAAGAACCGAGGAAAAAATTTAAGCCTCGAGTTGCAATACTGAAAGATTCTATGGGTAAAATATCAAATGATGCACAAGACATTAAAAGAAGATGGAAGGAATACACAGAATCATTGTACCAAAAAGAACTGTCGATGTTCATCCATTTCAGGAGGTGGCATATGATCAAGAACCAAAGGTATTGAAGGAAGATGTCAAAGCTGTACTGAAGGAATTGGTGAAGATCAAGGCTCCAGGAATTGATGGAATACCCATTGAGATGTTTCAACAAATGGATGCCCTGCTAGAGGCACTCACTCAGCTATGTCAACAGATTTGGGAGACAGCTATATGGCCACCTGACGGGACGAGATCCATATTTGTAGCCATTCCAAAGAAAGGTGATTGTACAGAATATGGAAATTACAGAACAGTATCATTAGTATCCCATACAAGTAAAATCTTACTGAAGAAAATTCAAAAATGGTTGCAGCAGTATATTGACAGACAGCTTCCAGAAAGGCAAGCTGGATTCAGCAGACGATGAGGAACAAGGGATATAATTGCTGATGTCAGACGGATCTTAGCTGAAAGCAAAGAATACCAGAAAGATGTTTATCTTTTACTGACTATGCAAAAGCACTTGATTGTGTGGATCATAACAAATTGTGGGTAACACTGAGAAGAATGGGAATTCCAGAACACTTGATTGTACTCATGAGGAACCTGTACATAGACCAGGAGGCTGTCATTCAAAAAGAACAAGGGGATACTGCATGGTCCAAAATCAAGAAGGGAGTGCCTCAAGGATGTATCCTTTCACCATACTTATTCAACTGGTATGCTGAGCAAATAATCTGAGAAGCTGGATTGTATGAAGAAGAACGTGGCATCAGGATTGGAGGAAGACTCATTAACAATATGCAGATGACACAATTTTGCTTGCTGAAAGTAAGGATGACTTGAAGCACTTACTGATGAAGATTAAAGACTACAGTCTGCAGTATGGATTACACCTCAATATAAAGCAAACAAAAATCCTCACAACTGGTCCAATCCACAGCTTCACGGTAGCTGGAAAAAAGATTGAAGTTGAAGTTGTAAAGGATTTCGTACTACTTGGTTCTACAATCAACACCAATAGAAGCAGCAGTCAAGACATCAGATGACGTATTGCATTGGGTAAATCTGCTGCAAAAGACCTCTTTCAAGTGAAGAAGAGCAAAGATGTCTCCTTGAAGACTAAGGTGAACCTAACCCAAGGTGTGGTATTTTCAATCACCTCTTATGCATGTGAGACCTGGACAATGAAGAAGGAAGACCGAAGAAGAGTTGATCCTTTTGAGTTGTGCTGGAGAAGAATGCTAAGAGTACCATGGCCTGCTAAAAGGACTAACAAATCTGTTTTGGAGTAAGTGCAGCTGGAATGTTCCTTGGAAGCAAGAATGGCCAAACTTCCTCTCACCTACTTTGCTCATGTTGTCAGAAGGAAGCATTCCCTGGAGAAGTGTATCATGCTTGGTAAAGTGGAGGGTCAAAGAAGGGGAAGGCCCTCAGTGAGATGGACAGACACACTGACTGCAACGATGGGCTAATGTATAGCAAGGATCCTGAGGCTGGCACAAGACCAGGCAGTGTTTCGTTCTGCTGTGCGTAGGGTCACTATGAGTCGGAGATGACTCAACAGCACCTAAAAACAACAACAAAAGGATAGCCAGGCCTAATAGTCTTGTATCTTGTGACCTCTTTTAATTTGATAATTCCAACACAATCCTACCTTTGACAACTCCTTGCTTTCATTAGCTTGCATGATACCTAACTAGTCTAATTTTCCTTCTTACCTAATTTCTGTTTTTCATATTCAGCCCCTCTTCCTTTTCCCATTAGTTAAATGTACATATGCTTTAAACATCAGTCCATGTAGTTCAGTTCTTCCCCCAACAACACTTTATCTTTCAAAACTCTCATCTTTTTGACCTAAAGCACCACCTCTATGCTGACCACTCAATCTCCCATATTGCCTTCTTGCCCCAGAAGCAAGCTCCCTACCTATGGTTTTACCTGATTTGTCTTTTCATCATTTCCAACTCTTAATAAATGAATAAAATAAAATTAATGTCTTACTTTCCCTATAAAATTTACTCTACATCAACTCCCTAGGTTCTGCCAATAACTTCATCAAGAGGTTGTGACTAATAGAATGATGGGAGACAGTGCATATCTGGAGTTCAACTGCCTGGGGTTGAATTCAGGCTCTGCCACTTAACAGCTATATGAACAAGAATGTTAATATATGTCCTCATCTGTAAAACGGGGATTGTAGGTTTCATTGGTCATGAGTTTAAAATGTGTTAATATACATAAACTAATATTTATAATATACAAAAAACATTTAAATATTAGCTATTCAAATAGTATCTCAATCTTCTGACCCATGCTAATTATAACTCTTCATGTATCTATTCAGTCTAACCAACAAGACATATTAAAGTACCCTAGAAAACTAATCAATTATGTGACTGCTACTTCCAGCAGAAACATCCTGGTAGAGTTCTCATTAACAACATTTGCTTAACCCAAACTCCTCTTATCCAAGCTCTCTTACTTTGATCCATTCTGAATATTATAATGCATTGGGCCTTCTTTTCCTCCTCTTCACTTTGCTTACTATTCCCTGTTAACTTACTTTTGTACTTATCTAAGTTCAACCCACCTTTCCAGGCTCAATTAAAGACTCTACGAACTCTCTACCCTTCAGAAATCTCTCCTCAGAGAAAAATGTGGCAATCTGGTTCCATAAAGATTCACAGCCTTGGAAACCCTATGGGATAGTTCTACTCTGTCATACAGGGTTGCTATAAGTCAGAATCAACAACAGCAGTGGATTTGGTTTGCTGGTTTTATTAATGTGGTACTTTCTATATGCTTGGAGTCCTCCAATGGTATAAACTATTAATGTGCTCAGCTGCTAAATCAAAAGGATGGAAGATCAAGTATATCTAGGAGCACTTCAAATGAAAGACATGGTGATCCACCTCCAAAAAAATTAGCCACTGAAAAGCCTATGGAACACAGTTCTGCTATGAGACACATGGTATTGCCATGAGTCAGAGTGGACTCAACAACAAATGATTTTAGTTTTTTTGTAGATGTTATTTTATTTATTTTTATAGATATGTAAGCTCCCCCAACTGTCATAAAGTTATCATCTATCAAACCACACACATATACACAAACAGACAAATCCTAGAGGAACTCAAGTGAGGAGAGACCTCTGAAGGGCAGAAAGTCCAGGAAGAGGCGTCTTAGAGTCTTAAACCATAGCATCTGTCATTTGGAAACCCAAGGAACTATTAATGTGGAGTGTATGTAACAAGAACTCAATAGTGTTAATTAATAAAACCAAGATTTATTAGAACTTGTTGCTTTAACTTGTCTTTTTTAACCTGTTGTAACAGAACTTCAACTGCAACTTTAAAAGCCTAAGAAAGTAGAATCAAAGAAATCTGATGATAAGTCTCTGATTCTGAATGCAGCTTGGAAATGTAACAATCTCCTTAGGAAAATATAACCTGCTTTATGATATGATTTCCAAAAACAGGATGAGCATTACACACAAATAACAATGCTATGGATGCCCCATGTAACTGTGTGGATATACACTTACAACAAATCAAAACATAACAGAGAAGAATAATACTCTATTACAATGTGTAATATTCTATTTTTACAAAATACATCTCTCTTCCTCCTTTTGGAAAACTGCATTCCCATGTAGTAGGTGAGAGTACACAAAAATTATAAATATAGGGCTTTCTAAATAGCTTACCAACAGTATTTGAGGCTGTTCACCATCTTTATCTGTCAAATGCAGAAAGTTCTTCTTTCCTGGCTCAAAACCAGCATCAAGGAGAGACCTGTCACTGGTATGATCTAGTGGAGCCTATGGGTATAAACCAAAATATCTTATATTATGAGAAAGTATTAACTGCAATTGTAGAAAAAACAAGTAATACGTAAATCAACACATTTCTAGTAAAATTCTGTTGAGTTAGGCTTAGATCTAACTTATCCAGGAATATAATGTGAATTCTCAGGTAAGCAATACACTAGCAACACAACCAAAATAATTATGTAATATAACAAAATGAGCACCTTCAGAAGGACCCCTTAAGACAAAGCCTGTCCTACTAAATGATACCTGTATTTCAAGTTCACCATCAGGATCCAGAAGATCCCAGGAAGAAGAAAGTGATCATTCTTTTGAAAATTAACATCTAAGATTCAACAGTTCTTTTATCTGGTAGGGCAATTTCAACCCTAACTGCCACTCTAATACACTGGAGTTGGAGGTTGGGAGATGGAGCTTTGTACAGTCCATGCCCTACTCACCCACACTGCTGATCATCGTTCAGAAAAATGAGGAAGTAGGGTAGACTACAGCCATTAAAAATGTTTTTCTGAGCTTGAGAGTTAAAGTCAAAAGGAATTCATATTTGTACAGAGAAAAAAAAATACATAAGAAAATTACTCAGAAAACACACACACACACACAAATTCAAAAAGAATTAGAAGTCACACACACTCTTTGGAGAGATCAATCATGGGAGAATAAAATAGCTCAGGAGGCAGGAGTGTATGGGAGGGAAGGACATAGGGAAGAGGTAACTATGGGGACGAAGTAGGAGACAAGCTGCTGAACTGTGGGAAATTGCAGTCAATGTCATGAGACAAAGTATATGTGAGCTGTTGTTATGGAAAATGAATTTGCTCTGTAAACTTTTACCCAAATCACAATAAAATTTTAAAACAAAAAATGTAAGAATTGCAAGTCACTTAGAGATAATCTCTATTAACACTGGCATATCCTTCTAGTTTCTTCTCTTTCTACACAGGCATATCTTGTTTCATTGCACTTCTCTTCACTGCTCTTGCAGACATTTCATTTTTAACAAACTGAAGATTTCTAGCAACTCTGCATTGAGCAAGTCTATTGGCACCTATCGGCATGTGCTCACTTTGTATCTCTCTGTCATGTTTTGGTAATCCTCACAATATTTCAAACTTTTTAATAATGCTACTGCAGACTTAATAGACCACATAACTTTTACATGCACAAGGAAACCAAAAAATTCACAGGAATGCTTTACTGTGATACTCACTTTACTGCAGTGGTCTGGAACCAAACCCGTAATACTTCCAAGGTATATTTACATACATTTTTTCTTCTTTTCCAAAATCCAGATCATAGACTATATATGATTTAAATCTGCTTATTCATTTATTTATGATTTTATATCCATTTAAAAATATAAGTTGACCTAATATTACAATAATCACCTTACATGCATGAAAAAACTGAGAAAATGACATTTTACAAACTTTAAGATAAGCAAATGTTTACACCAGTATGGAAGAAGCAGGATTCAAGTATTGAGTTGCACAAAGGCTCTTACTATAGATGTTATACTTTTGCTTATGATATCAGAAAACCTTCTAGGAGTTAATGTAATCATTAATAACAGTAATGACGAATATAATATTATTATTAGCTGCTTAAGAAAAGATGCTTTACCGTATCAGCAGTATTGATTCCATTTCCCCAAACCAAATCAAAGGTTCCATTTATGTAGCCTACTTTGTTGGCTACATCTTCAAAGAGCTTTCTGAGTGGAGTAGAAGCTGGTAAATTTAAAGTGATTCGTTCATTCACTGTCTTTGAATTAGTAGTATCTTGTATTATACATAAGACTCTAGGTTCTTCAGCAGCATTTTCTATCTGAAAAAAGGGAAAGGGTGAATATTAGCTATCTTTAAAGGAAAACAAAATAATTATAATTAGTCACAAAATTTTATGATTAAACACAAAAGAACCAACAAAATACTAATTATTTTCTATGTGCCAGTACTACTGTTTTGTTATATCTGAAATATACTCTAATGGATATGTCTAAAAAGTACCATCTAGGTTTGTTTTAGAAAAACTTGGGCATATTTCAGAATCAAAAGTCATTCTTGTGGGTATTTGCCTTCTTTCACCTTTTAAGGTTGTAAGTCAATGGTCAACAAGCCATGAAGAAGTGTACTTGAGCAATTTTAAGTTAAAAATAACCGTTTCCCTTAAAAATGTGCTATTATTATGCTAACACTAGCAAAACAAGCATTTCTGAGACTCCTGAAAAACAGAAAGAGACTTGTACAGAAATCCAGTAGCAACTATCTAAAGACTGCAAAATCTTTAACTAAGGGAAAAACCAAGCCTCCTCCTCTTTATTCTGCTATACCCATAGCCCAGATGGCCAAAAAACCTCACATGTCAATGTGCTGGAGCTGACAAGCTTATCCAAACAAATGAGCCAGCAGTAACAGGTGGGTAAAGCAAGGAAAAAATTCTTTTTCTCCATTAAAAATCCTGAAGAAAGCTGGAGCCACAAATTCTCCTTCCTTCTTTTTCATCAAATATGTAATTCAGTAACTATCAAAACAAAAGATTTTAAAAGTAGACGTTCTCAAAGAAGCTATGCCCTCCATCCTTAAGGTGCTGAGGACACAGAGGCCACTTTTCTTTTTGCACCAGATAGTTTAGGAGAAGGTTTGCCCTATACTCCTTTCCCTTCTGCAATGCCCTACTCAATGAATAGCCCCATCGACTACCAGAGCTGAGGATCTTTCTCATGCCCTCCCCGTTCACCTCACACAATCACCAAATTCTATCAGTTCAACCTTTGGAGATCTCTCATAACCAGCCACTTCTCTTTATACTGATGCAATCAGGATCTTTCACCAATAGCTTCCTGAGTAGTTCTCCCTCCTCCAATTTTATCTTCCTTAGATCCAGGATTTCTAAAATGCAAATCTGATTGTGCAAACTTCTTGCTTTCCCTCAAAGTCAAGTAGAGCATTCATTTAACTGAGGGACCTCCAATCATCCCCATAACAGACTAATCAGAAATAGGATCTGTACAAACTAGTGCTATGTAAGAATTTATTTCTCCTCTCACTTTCTTTTTACAAGACTATCAACCCCAACCTTCTGTTGTTTCCATATGATACATCTTTAAATTAGAACAATTGTTATCATTGACTAGCATTAAGATATCTACAAGGTTTTTTGTTTGTTGAGGGCTAATCCAGTTACAATTTTTTACTGCCATATATAATTTTTAGTTTCCAAGACTTAATTTGAAATAAGGTTAATCCAATAAATTTAGAACTAGAATACATGCTGTAAAAGAAGTGTAATATTTAAAACCTACTAACTAGCACAGTATTTCAGATAAGTCAAACTACTTAATTCCCAACAATACCTATTTACAAAACATGAAGAAGGGAAATGCATTTCTGCAAAACAAACAGGGTAACACAAAAGAACATGACTAATTTACTTCACAAGCAAGTAAGGAAAAAGTTTTTCATTTATAAATTTAAGGCATTACAGTAAATACACAAAATTGATTCTTTTACCCATTTTAATCCAAAACTAAGAATGACAAAATTAAATTTGTTTAAAATTCTGATTTACAATAAAAGAGTGAACAACTCAAACTAACTTTAAACTATAAAAGATCTACTTTTACAGTTTGGATAGTATATTTCAGAGGTAGGGTAAGTCTGAATGATTCCAGTTTTCCAGACATAAAATATTGCAGAGTTTTTAAAGTTTCATATAGGTTGGGATTGATGATCCGAGGAAGATAATCTTATCTAAGAATTTCATGTATCAGTGTTGATATAGTACTATTCATAAACAGTGATGCAGCAACATCATCTAGTTCCACATTAGTACCTCTTAGTTCTTTATTGTTTGAAAACGTGACAAGGTTTAGGCACTCCAGACTCCTCTCCTTCCACTCAAAAAATGTGAGGAAATTATTTCCAAATTAATTCTTATGTGAAGACTAACTGTAGTATGTTGCTGTTGCAGGTGCCGTCAAGTTGACTCCAACTCATAGTGACCCTACGTACAACAGAATGAAACACTTTCCAGTCATGCCCCATTGTTTTGGTTACCTAGTGCCGCTCTGACAGGAATATACCACAAATGGGATGGTTTTAACAAACAAGAGTTTATTCTCCTACAGTTTGGAGGCTTTAAGTCCGAGAACAAAGTGCCAGGCTAGGCTCTAGGGGCTGTCAACCTTGGGCTTCAGCTCTGCCTTCTACCTCCTATTCCCGGCCCACTGAAGCTGAAGGCTCTTCTTCACTCAAACAGCTGCTGGCTGCTGAGGCTGACAAACCCAAGGTCAACAAGTACAAAGGCACAGTCTCAATGTTACCAAACACAGCAGGCCACTAACTCAAGTCCAGAAGAAGGCCCAAGATCAGCAGGGCATGGCAGGTTGCTGAACAATGACTTGGCTACATGCAGGGTTCAAGTTTGCCAAAAAGCTAGAGACCTACCTCAAAGCTGTTTCTTATATACAGGAAGCAGACATCACCAAAGCACCTACTCAGCTGCTCCAGTAGATTCCACCATGGAACTGACTGCCAATCTCACCATGGGGAATAACTACATCCAGCTGCCCAGCCACTCAACCAGGCCCAGCCAAGTTGACAACAACCTTAACCACCACATCCATCCTCATAATCCTTGCTATACATGAGCTCATCTCTGCAGCAACCGTGTCAATCCATCTTGTTGAGGGTCTTTCCCTTTTACATTGACCCTCCACTTTACCAAGCACGATATCCTTCTCCAGGAATGATGCCTTCTGACCATAGGACCGTAGTAGGTGAGACAAAGTCTGTCCATTCTTGCTTTCCAAGATCATTCCAGCTGTACTTCTTCCAGGACAGATTTGTTTGTTCTTATAGCAGTTCATGGTATTTTCAGTATTCTTCACAAACACCTTAATTAAAAGGCATCAATTATTCTTCCGGCTTCCTTATTCACTGTCCACCTTTCATATGCATATAAGGTGATTGACAATACCATGGCTTGGT